AGCCAAAATCGGTAATTACAAGCTGTATTCCTTAAAAATAATCATCGTCAATAGACTTCAATATCAGAAATCTCTTTTAATGCTGACGGTAATTGTTTCAATTAAATTTCTCTCCTCGAATCCAGAATTTTTTTTTTGAAAAATGATTTAATTAAAAAAAAGATAATGCTTTAGGAGACCCATGTCCAAAGTATAAATATCTTTCGACCAATTTCGGTAAATGCCAAACAATCCCGGATTGCAATATTTTCAGTAGAACGGGAAATTTACAAATTAAAAATTGGAAACCAGATTCATTAACAGGCGTATGAGCTAAATATATAAGAAAGCCCAAACAGAATATTATACGACTTTATAATAACGACACCTATACGCTAGGGAAATCTTCACAAATCAATTCACAGAGTCTTAATAAGACTCAATAGTTCAATGGAATATGGTAGTAATTGAATTGTTTGAATTGGGCATAAACGAAATGCCTCCATCTACCTGTTGTATAATTAGATATACCAAAAACCTTTATACTCTTTTTTCACCCGTTTCACGGTGTGAATTTAGAACTATATTTTGAATTAAATTGAATAAACATTTCGTTATTTGGCTTTCGCAATACTCTGGAAAAGTTATGTTGCAGCAAATATCCAATATTCAATTTAATAGAACATTAGCTAATAGAACAATTGATACATTTATCGTTTATATTGGATCAACAGAAAATTTATTCGGACTTTGAGCTTCAAGGTGTGCTCGAGGACAAGCTAAATTCGAAAGCATATCAGACAGTTATACAACGAATGAATGCTGAGGAGGCAACCTGTGCGCTGACCATGCCCGAAGTCGCCGAAGGCGATGAGTAAGTAGCATCAATAGGACATCGTTGTACTCTAATGATCTAATGAACGTTCCGTATTAATTAACAATAGAAATTGTGACGATATCCGTAACGGTGACGAAGAGGATGGCGGAGATGAATCTGGCGCTCACGCAGCCCGGAGCATCCCCAAGCCGAAGACGGGAGCTGCCCAAGCTGCGGCTGTCACCAATGTGGTCGCTGGCCGGGTTGGTAATCTGCTTGGCAAAGGCATTGGCGGACTTAGCTCAAAGCTGGGAAGTGGCGGTTGGTTTTGAGAAGGTCTTAAAGGAAACAAAGTGGCCATTCTGGATGAACTTCTGATGGCAGCTTCGTAGCTATTCTGAGCCAAGTCCACTTGGTCCTGTCGCATGACAACAATAACAACAATAATGGATACCAATAATACAATATTCCGTGAATGTATAGAGGATCTTTAAACACCATCTTTCGAATACAAATACTTATTATTATAATAAGCCCGATTATGGACATATTTCATTATTTTATGTACATTATTTTATGGGACAGTTCTTTCTGGTACGAATTATAAGCACGATCTCGATTAACTAAAATAATTTGTGCTTCATTTAAATATATAATTAAAATCGAGTTAAAAATCAATACTTACATTTGCAAAACATAATTACCTCTTTAATAATATTACACGATAATTAATCAAAATAATGGAAACCAAGCCACATATTTATTACATGCATATTTCTTCATCAGACGCATTGCTAATATGTACAAGAAGTATGTACAAATAAACCAAACAATTAATTATACACTTTCAAATATACTTTCTACTCTTCCAATTCAAATTCCAAAAAAAAAAACTAATACTTATTATGTACAATGTTTTTTAAATGTTAAATACTATCTCAAAGTGTATTTGATTTGGCCATCAGAATATTTATTTTATGCTCGCGAGCGAATTCACATTTATACAGGTGTTTATATATCATTTAAATTAGACAATTGAAGAACATATATGTAATTTAAATTAGACAAACGAAGAACTATATATAGTCAAGCAAGTCTCTTAGTTTTGAAGCGATTTGATCAAACCTTTTTTTGCTGCTGGTAATAAATGAATATGTTAAAGTAGATCGGACTACTATTATCTCATATAACTGCCAAAAACTTTGTTCTTCTCAAGGTATTTTAGCGAAATAGACCAACTTTCGGAGTAAAGTAAGCTTCTAATATATATGAGTGTAAGCACTGTTTAATAGAAATACAAAGCTATTATTGTATAACAATACGGTTTGTCTCGGATCAGTAACATATTGTCAGTGTCTGTCAGGGTATCAAATCGTCGGAGCTCCGAAACTACCAAAAGACGTTTATAGTGAATTTCGACAAAACAATTGTGTTTTTTCTTTATAAAATTTGTTAGAGAATTACGTTTAAATACACAGGGCTTAGACCTTAATCTATAGAAACAAAATAAATATATACATATGTTCATACATTCACAACATTTAATTGAAATATATTATTTAGCAATTGGACATTTTTCATGACTCACGATAAAATAGGCTTCTAATCTATCAGATAAATCGACTTAAATTTATATTGTGCTTACATTTCAGTAATAAAGAATAATAATAACGTATTTAGTATGTACAAATATTAATCTCGTATTATGAGGGAATTTATTCAAATCTAAACTTATAACAAGATTGTTTAATCATATAAGAATGAATATAAAATAATAATATAGATGAATTTATATTCCAATACACAAATATTTATACGTTGTAGCTATGATTACTTTTGTTCAATAAACCAACTTTATGCACATATATATAAATATATATACACATGGAATATATATTATATTATATTGTCAAATGTATATACATATTTTATATATACAAATTAAAATTAACGTTTATCCCGAAGAGCCCCAGCATAATTATTTTATTAGTTAATACGAAATAAAAAAAAAAAGAAAATTATGCTTGATTAAAACGCTTTGTTGGGAGTTGGGAAACTTATTTAAAATGTATCTGAATACCTTGTTTTACGCGCTTGAATCCTTCCAAGTATAATCTTAATTTACTATGATATTTAAGAAAGTACAATAAATTGGAAAAAATATAGCAAGAAGTTGTTAATAAAGCAAGGAAAATTATTCTAGATATATAGAGCGTTAAGTAAATAGGATAAAGAGATAGTCATGGGAAATCACCGACCCGGTGGAGGACATTTTTTAGTCTGTCCGGCAAGCTATGATACGCTACTCATAGCTGGGAATTGCCACTGAGTTCCCGAAGGTATCCATCCTGAGAGCAACGATTTTGTTATGGGCAGAGAAAGTCCGGTGGAGAAAACGAAAAGAATTGTGCATAGCGTAGGTAGGTATAAGGGGTAGGAATAATTCCTGGTAGGCGATAATACACGGAATAGAGAAAAGAAGAAGCTATAATCAACTAATGTAGGAAGACAACACCGAGGATTGTCCTACGGAGTATAGGAATTTGGTGATGAAAGGATTGTTAAACTCTTTAGACCAACGTTAAAGGTAAACCAAGTACACGTTTGGCATCATTAACGATGCTATCTATATGAAGATTGAAGCAGAGCTTATACTGTATATTTAACTAATTTGATAACTGGCAAGATATAAGGTGTAGCACGATTGAACAATTTAGATTTAGCAATTGATTGGCCGAGCACAGAGAATGATGTAGGGGATTAGTGTATGAATGAAAAAGTTTCATCAAAGTTTCATCATTCGCATACATAAGTACACGGGCATGTGATATAAACGAGTGGTGATCTTTTATAAACAGAGTAAAGAGTAAAGAGTAAAGGAACAGGATGACTACCTTGAGGTACACCAAAAGTAACGCGAACCTGTCAACCTCAGGATGACCCTTTGGGTCCTACCCCTTGGATACGAAGGAATCCATAGGAAAAGAGACGGAGCGAAACCTAAGAGGTGAAGTTTAAGGAGTAACAGTTCATGGTGCACTGAGTTAAACGCCATCAGTTGGCATTTTAAAAAGAAAAACATCATTTACCAAGGAAGTAAATTCAAGCAGATTGGTCTTAGTTGTCCGATTCCTTCCCGAGTCGCCCGAGTCCTCACCACTCAACAATTCGTCCAGATGCATCACAATCACGTTCGTTATATGGTAAGCCCCTTAAGATTATTCCTTTGGTAATATGTCGTAATTGCACCCAGCTGTCTTCCCTTAAATGCTGTACGCAGTCGTTGTCGTTGTCAGTCGAGGTGAAAGCAGGTGAAAGCCGCTCCTCCTTCTTCCACGGGCATTTATATTACCTCTGTTCCTCGGTTCCGCGGCGGCCCATCTTGATGTGCCAATTCCGTCACCATTCCAACCGGCGGAATTTGTCTCTCCAGAAATCGTCGAAAGTTGATCGGCGTGTTCACGAGATCCCCTGCAGACCAGACCTCAGCATCCGAAACCCAATCGGAATCGACTAATTCAAGCAACTCCTAGTAAGTAAATAAATAAAATCGGAGGACCACTCAAAAACGACATCTTACTAATTTTAATAATTCAATAAATGTCCACAGCAAATTCACTTTTCACAACAAAATACATTTTTCTATGTTTTTAGCGCAACTTTTTTTATCTTTTATTATCTGGAGCGAGAAAAAACAAATCCTAACACAGGCTAACCTCAATTATCTAACATTCTAACAATTATCTAGCATCCATCAAATGCTCAATTCATCAGTTTCAAGCTATTTGGAAAAAATTGGAAAGCCGCGGCAAATATTTAAATAATTATTTATTGTATTGTATTGTTTTTTGTTTGATTCATATTTTTCTGACTATTATCGTTCTTGTTGTTATCGTCCTTCGTGATGGAAATGTCTAAAATCAGATTCACTTTTCAGTATAATAAATTTAATTTCAATTTATTATAATATTTTTAATATTTCGATTTAAATTAAAAATACATTTAATCGATGATAAAGCCTATGGATAACAACAACTATCAAGCTAACAAGCCAAAGAAATCTGAAATCCAAAAAAAAAAACAAATATATTTTTTTTTAAATATCCAGTAATATCCAGTTTTCGTAAAACAACTGCAAAATCTTATTGGGAATCTTATTGGGAAGTAAAATGTATGTCCACAAATTAAATGAAAGTACACGTGGTTTCTCTTGTCAACATGTTTTTGTTTTTGTTTTTATTAAACCTTATTGGTTTTGTATAATTATTCTTTTCAATACATCAAATTATTTCCTAAGCTTATGGTTGCTTTATCTTCCTATGTTAATGCTTTATTTTATTTTGTGTTGCTTCGTTTTGATTTATAGATAATGTAGCTACATGTTTAGATTAAGTGTGTGTGTGTGTGTGTGTATATATAACATTTAATATGTACGTATATAAGTGTATATATAAATACTTTAAAATCTAGATATGTGTGTATGTATTATTAGTATTAACCTCTACTATTTATGCCTACTTACAGTAAAAGAGCTACTAAAAATAAACGGAACAATTAACCAATCTGTGTTATTATTATAATTATTATTATTATTATTATTATTATTGACTTAGCTTACTTTGAATGCAATTTATCATTAAATCGTACTTATTTCATATTTCTCTTTCGTGCATTTTACAAATACAAATGTACATACAAACAAATCAAAGCAGTCTACCAACAAGTGTATATTGTATATTGAAATGGATTTGATCTTTTTTTTATATATATAATATATAATTTCAAGGATTTATTCATTGTACATTGTACATTCTCCTGATATCATTTAATGTTGTCTATTTGAGAATTTATTGATATACACATTGATGTGCATTTGAGTACTGGATGGCTCGAGAGCTAATTGGCAAATAATATGGTACAGTGAACTCACCATTTGACGACAGATAAAAAGCGAATCCACGTTGAAAGAAGCACATATACATTCTGGCTTCAAATCAAAATTGCACAGTATATCATTTATTTCTGTTGTATGAAATTACATACGAACAAGTGTATATGTATTGTAGATCTTGTACTTTTTCTTCGATATCATGGAATTATAAGTTAACAGAGAAGCGGATATGCAAAGGTATGTGAGTATACGAATGTAAGGGGGTAGGTGTCATTCCAACCTACATACACGGTATCATTTAGCAGGCTTTGATATGATTGTAACATACTCACAACATATTTGTTTACAGTGTCTCTGTTATCCAGAGTTGAGTACACATACACGCATGTAATTGTATGTGTGTATGTATGTATGTACATCGTTGCACATTGAAATGTAAAGGCATTTGTGGACTTGAGCGTGGGCTTATAATTAATACATAAAAATTGTGTTGAATGTAAATTAGCATTTAAATAATTACTTAATAATGCGGAAACGCCAAATACGAAATGCGCGCTTTTGGAGTGCTAATTAATAATGTTAACATAAAGAAGTTAAAGTCAATAAATAAAACTGTAAATATTGCAAAACGGTTTCATATGCACTATTTACTAGGTAAACATTTAAATAAAAAATAAACACAGAAAACTGGAAGCATAGTTAACGTAGTTAAATATATAATATTGATTTTTGCTGTTGTTTGTTTTGTTTTTGTTTTGCTTTTGATTAGAATAATTACTAAAGCTAGCGTTCACTTTGCAAATATATATAAATACATTTATAGATATGTGTATATATACCTCAAACCATTTGCTTTTTTCAATGTCTGCTCTCATATACAAAGTATTTATTACGTGTGTACAACATAATGTTTGCCTGTTAATAATAACATTAACATTTACATTTACACATATTTACATAAATATGTTAGGTTGCTTTTGCGTGTCTGCTGTGCTGTGCCTATGTACATAGTGTTTGTTGTATGTAAGTAATTCGTGCCAAGTATATAAATACTCGTCTTGACTTAAAACACACTCCTCGTGTGTACATATGCACACCTTTTGCCCACATAAGTACATGCATACATATATGTATATGTATGTACTTATTCTATGTACATATGTTATTAATTTAAATATGTATTAACAGTCTTTTTTATAATTGGCAATGGCTTAACACACACACACATATTGTTGTGCTTACATATACATATATACTATGTACATACACATTTGCTTAATATCGCATTAATTTAATTTATACTTCTGTACTAAATGTTTGGCTTGATCGTACACGTTGAATATATATAGTATATAGTATATAGTATATATATATTTACATATTGATATATATTTCGCACATATCATTTATAAGTATAAAGCAATATTCAAGTTGAACCCGATATTGATAACTATTCATTTAATGTCTGGTTAATATTGTTATCATTTCGATTCTTGAGCACCCAAATATCTGAGCATGATCATACAAACAGGCCTATTACACATTTAAGACAAATATGACGATGATTACCCTATAAATCAAATAAAAAAAATATATATTTTTTCAACCATTTGTAAATTCTATTGAAATGGGCTAATAACACTAGCCTACAAGTTTTCTGTACCCCGCATCAAGTTATTTTTGACTTTTACCAAATGTACGCCAAACAATTGAAATCTGATCGTAGTTATTGCTTTTTGGATAATCTGTGTTGAATACTTTTGAAAATCACTTTTTTCGAGGTACACTTTTTTTTCTTTCTTTCTTTTGTTAGCAAGTGTCAGCAGTTTGTCTCATGTCTTCATTAATTCTTGGCTATTTAAATAATAATATTAAATGCTGTTTGAATCTTTTTTAAATTACCAAACCAGAACTTGTTATGTAAAAGAATCGAAAAATAATATTTTTGCCCATTAAATTTTATAAATATAGTAGACATAGTATGCAGTATATAGTCATATATATATGTACGTTAGAAGATTACTATACACTATGCATATATATATGCTTAGATATGCATACACACAGTACACAGCTATCAGGTCCAATTTTTAATAAATTCGTACGTTTTGTCTTAAGTTGCTTCTCTGTACACACACATATGTACACACACATACACACAGCCAGGTATACATACATACATACATACATGAATAGATTATATTCTTTAACTATCGTTAAATAATACTGTGCTTTATAACAAAAATTTTATTGAAATCAATTATGCAAATCAACCCTATTTCTCTTATTCTTTATTTTCTTTCTGTATTTTATATTTGTTATATGTTCTATAGCATTGCTATTGTAGTTATTCAGGGAAATCAAAATGTGTTGTTTAGAACTACACAAAAAAGATTTTTTTAGTTGGTTTTTCTTTCGATTGGTAAAATCGTATGGAAATGTAAGTTCTTCTCATACTTCCGTCTTTTGAATCATTTAAATGAAGGTAAGATTTCCACATTAAGCTGCTTTATTATGGCTATATCCCGATTTCAACAAGGAGGGATTAAGTTTCTAAAAAGTGTGAGAAACATCTCTCTAATGAATTTCAACAAAGATCTTGAAAATGGGTTTGAGTCCGATCGAAGGGTAAACAAAAAAGTGTCATGGTCTAATTTCACGGTTTTTCCATACTTGTGGGTGGAACATCTCTCAAGTGAATTTGAACAAAGATCTTTGAAAATGGGTTTGAGTCCGATCGAAGGGTAAACTAAAAAGTTTCTTGGTCTAATTTCACGGTTTTTCCATACTTGTGGGTGGAATTTCCCTTACGTAAGCTAAATTGTGTTTCAGCTCTCTAGCTCTTACGGCATGGTTGGCTGTGAGTTTAAGGAAAACACACTTTTCTCTATAGAGATAACAGAAAGTTGAATTGGACAGCTCTCTCGCCTAGTCGGAGAATCATCCAGAGTACTCTCTAAAAGGTTAGGTTTTAATTTCTAATGGATTATCCACATATATATTTATGCTTGTATGTATGTGTGTGTGTGTGTGTGTGTGTGTGTGTGCACATTCACACTCGAATATGTATGTAGTATATTTTGATAGCTACGATAGTTCAACTAGACTTTCTGTCACCAACTAGATCTCGTGGCACACTATACCTTAAATTCAAATGCTGTCCGATAAGTATGTAGTATGTGTTATATAGTAAGTATGTATGTATATATGAAGTGAGTACACTTTTGGCACTAATCCAATAATGGCCACATGTTACACTTGTTACAACTATGGCGATGGCGTTGGCGTTGGCGTTGTTGATGCTGATGCTGATGCTGATGATGAGGGGTAAATGGCGATAGAGACGGTTCTTATTGCACGTTGGGGCCAACAACAACAGCTGGATTATCAGCTGTCGGTCGGCTGCTGCTCCCCATATCTTAATGACTAAAGCATGGAGGAGGACATCAGGGCGGGCAGCAGGATTGCCAGCAGACTGCTACGAAACGCTTATGGCTCCAGTTTCGGTTGCGTTGGCTGTTGCCGTATTTCCGGTCGCTGCCGGCGGATCGGATGTATTTCGGCGTTTCATACTATTTAGGACGGGCGTGTCCATGGGTTGCACGACTGACCCGATGTTGCCGATGCTACCGATGTTGCTGCTGCTGCTGCTTGTGGCTGCCAAATGGTTGTTCAGCTGTTGTTGGAAGTGTTGACTAAAGCTGCTGCTGAAGAGCGCATGATGCGGATGCGGATGCGGATGCTGATGCGGGTGCGGATGCGGATGCGCGTATGGATTATGGGCCGCATTATGGCGTAAAATAGCTGAAGCTGATTGCGGGTCACAGTTGCCGAGTATCACAATGTTATTATCCTCTCGCCGCTTGGTCAACTGATTGATACTCAACGGATTGTTAATGTCACGTGGATTGGCGCCAATCGGATTGCGATGCAAGCTTGTTGTAGTCGCCGATGCAGTTGCAGTTGCAGATCCAGATACAGGAGTTGTCTTTATGCTACCAGCACCAGCCGCTGTTCCAGAGCCCGTATAACTGTTGAAGCCATTTGTTGCCAGAGATGTGGGAGTGCTCCTGCCGCTGCCTTGGTGTGTGTGCGATTGTGCGAATAGCTGCTCGGGATTACTGCCGCAGACTGGCAGAGTAAGGCCCATGCCCAGATGGCTGAAGCGTGTGCCAAGCATCGCTGTTCCGGTCGCAGACGTCACTGGCGACGCTGTGCTCGAGGTATTCGGTGTGTTGCTAATGCTGTTACATGTTGATCCGCTGCTGGACCCCGTCCCAGATCCCGATCCAGGCGCTGATCGTGATTGACTGCTCGACGTTGCCTGTTCAGGGAGAGGGCCTGCATTGCTGGTTGGCGCCAGAGCGGGCGTGGCTGGACTAGTTAGCATGTTCATATTGAGCGGACTGGCCAGACTGGTCGTTGTCGAGGGACTCTGCACACTGGACAGGCCGCTCAGGCAGCCCGGGCTCGACAGCGACTGGCTCATTGACTCCGTGTCATCCTCGTTGTCGGCCATTTTGTTCGTCTCGGTCTCATCCCCGCTGCCACAGCTGCCATTGCCCAGTTCATCGTCATCGTCGTCATCATCGCTCAACTGGCTCATATTGCCCGACTCATCCATGCCGCTGCCGCTGCCGTTGCCGTTGGCCAGCGATCCGTTTCCATGTAATGCCTCCATGTAGCGAATGCATTTCTTTTTGCGTCTGCAGGATTAAAAGAAACATATACGCATATGCATTATTAGTTGGCATACAAATGAAAATCGATCAATTGTGGTATTTGCAAATAGATAAGTACATATATGAAGGCATTCCACAACATATGCAGAAACAGAAAAGACCAAGTGCATGCACACACGGTATGGTACGGTCTCATTAAACAAGCTAATGCTAATGCTAATGCTAATGCTAATGATCGTGCAAAAACATAGTTGAACAGAAAAGATATTACATATTAAATGAATCTCAAGTGCAATTTCAAATCAATCAAATCAAATCAAGAGAGCGGCCCACATCTGTTGACTAAGCAGGATTGAGATTGAGAGCAGATTTTAAGGTCAAAGCGTCAAACCAACACAATATCTCTTTTTTTTCTTTTCATTTCTTTTCAACCTGACGATTGGCATTCAAATGATGATTTTATTCGGTTATATAACAAACCTATACAATCATAATTATAATAATAAGCTCTTGTTAATTTATTTATTTGTTTATTGATATATTGATAAATAAATGATATTTACCAATTAATTCTGTACTAATTATTTGATTTAACAACAAATTGTTCTATATAGGCGCAATAACATAACAATAAATAAAAATCATTCAATTATTCAGATAGGTCAAAACAAAACAAAACCAAACAACGTTCTTCATTCACACTCCAATCGAAGCATCTTTAGAACAGAAACTTTTAAATATAAAAGGGTCATGTTTCAGCTGTAACTGACCTTTCACATTTAACCCCTTCAAATTGATAGACACATTCAAAATGGGTTATTTCTGCATGCAGGTATCATAACAAAATCGGAAACTATCTTAACATAAATACATGGAATTAAAAACAAACAAAACAATTCAAAATGAATGGTTCTCAATTTGACATATATATGCTTATATATATATTATATAATGATATTATATAGATATTATATAATAAAATACAAAAGAAATAAAAATATAGTAAGGAAATCGATAAATGCAAATAATTTTAGGGGTCACTTTATTTAAAAAAAAAAATATAAAGTATAAATTATCCTAAGAATAAAACTGTTCCAATCTGTCTTTAGATTTTGGGCAATGGGAAAGTTATATTGATAATCGGTCGGTAAATAAAGAGTATATTTCAAGACGTATCATATAAGCATATAAATTAGAGATAATCCACGTTCCACAAGGCATGCATAATAATAATAATAATTTCTCTGCAGACATTTCGAAATGTTCCAACAAAAAAACAATAATATATATCTATATATATATAAATATAAATAGTTAACTGAAATGGTAGAATTAGCAGCAATCAATGCACTTAAATTTGTTCATCGCAGTAAATAACAATAATAAACGTAATAAATCATCAGTTATATTAAATAATGGTTAAAAGGCATAAACGGCTGTGGTTCAATAAACATAACAATCATACAACATTTAAAAGAAAAGCCAGTTTCGTCCCAAAACGGACCAAGTTCACAAACTCAAATTAAAAGGCAACAAACTGCAACAACAACAACAACAACAACAACAACAGCAACGACAACAATAACAAACAGCTCTAGCAAAAATTTAAAATTGAGCTCGGTTTAAGTACAACACATTTAAATTATCAAAGATACATATACATATATATATATATATATATATATATATATATATATATATATATATATATATATATATATATATGTATATATATCAAAAAATATTCCCTATCAAAGGCCACATGTGCTCAAAATGATATTCGTATATGATTTAAATCAATCAATTTAACTTTATTATTATTAACTTACACAGGTAAGCAATAGTATTAATGTACATGGAATTAACTAAGTTTCATTCTTTGTATTAGATTCATAATTTCCTTGTCCCTAGCATCATCATGGCATGCCGCATTAGCACAGTTATTCTTATTCAACAATTTATAACTTAAATTAGAAATTGACTAGATCAACAAGTCTTTACTCAAACGTTCATTGGCAAAGACGCAGACATTAACTAAAATTTGAAAAAGAAATAAATGTTATAAGAATGTCCATTTAATGTTCATTAAAGACCAATTTCATAATTGAAGAATGCGATTTATATTATTTGTTTATATATCAATAATCGTACAAATCATTGGCGAAAGGAAAACTCTCTGACTGAATCATCAGATTAAGCCTGATGTAACCCGATTGGCTTGAACATATTCATTAGGCATAATGTGCATAAGCATAATGATATATGCCATTAACAATATGCAAAGATAAATGATCTGATCTGATCAAAATTTAATTTATTTATTTAATTTTGCACGGATTTTTTGAAAATAAACAATAGAAAAAAAGGGTAATAATAATATGAAAAATGAATGAATGCTAATGCGGCCTAATGCTAGCTTTTTGCAAAGAGTATAATAATTTGAATATGTTGCTTGGTTAATCGTAATGCAAATTAGAAATCACTGAATTTATGTACATGGCATATGGCATATATATGTAAACGTATACGTTATTTACTGGCATTTCAGCTGAGTCGTACGCCCGGCCCGCCTCTTTGGCGAGTCTAGGATGCGGATGCGGTTGCGGATGCGGACGCAGGTTCGTTGTCCGGGAGAGATCTGCTGCCTGCTTATTTTCGCCGCGGTCTGCCGTCCTTTTCTTTTGTTTTTTTTTACAAATTTACATAGGTCGGGGGTGCCTGCGGTGACAGTTGCTGGCTGCTCGCGTTAGCGCCAGTTGCACCGCCGCCAACACCACCCCCTCCCCCTCCACCGCCACCTCCACCTCCACCATTATTGAGAGATGGTGCCGATCCATTTCCGGTATTGCTGGGCATCATTTGCAAGTGGGTGTGCGTGTGCGAAGACGATGTGGATGACGATGAGGAACTTGATGACGAATTGGGCAGCATGACAGTAGCCCCAACCATGCCAGGTGTCAGCATGCCGACACTTATGCTATTCACACCTGGGCCGCTGACAATTGCGCCTGCAACGGTACTGTTGACGCCCAAACCCACACTGGGACTGAATTTGAGAAAGTCCAAAATGTATTATTTGGTTAGGCAATATGAAAAGAACGGTAATTCGTAATATTCGTCAGCGAATTTGTTTACTCAACAACAACAAAAAAACAAAGGCATATTTGTTTGTATGTATGTGCTTGTATGTGTGTGTGTGTATTTTGATTTTTTTTTTTTGTTTATTAAGCATCATTCAGTCCTAATGCCAGAACTAATCGAACAAACCCAACTCGCAAAGCTCTATTATATATATTCAATTCAATCCTGAAACGATTCGCAACAATTCAAGATGTCTCATCTCAAAAACCATTAAAAAGTTCAGTGTAAAAAATTGAATATAATTCGAAATTAATGGGCCGATATTTTTTCTTGGAAATAGATAAAGCAACAATTATGTCCCTTGCACATAATTCAAATAAACAAAAAATGAAATAAGAGGATTGAGACAATTTTCAACAATAATCGAAAAAGCAAGGATTTAAAACCCTTGTAGAAGCTCGTAAGTGCCGAGTTTTGATGAAAATATATTCGAAAAACAATTTTATAATATATAGATGTCAGAACCTATTTTTGACCGATGCTTCCTATGGCATATATAATATATAATATAATATAGTAGGAACAACTTTTCGGCCGATTCCGAGACAGAAAGTCGGACCTATGCAAAGTTATAGCTTGGCTGTTGATCTGATCTTGGGTATATATAATTTAAGGGGACGGATATGTCCTCCTTCTATGCGTCTCACACTTCATGATAAAACTAAATTGCCGCCAACAAAATGAGAGAATAGGAAAAATATGGATTGCCAGTTTAATGACTTTGTCATTACAAAAACCAATTTATTACGATTTTAAAACAAATACCTTTTTTCGAATTATGTGTGCATATAAATGATTCAAAATGAACACAATTGAATCAGAGTGGAAGTTCAAAATTAATTTTAAAATTTAGGTTTAGCCTACAATTGAACTGTTTTCATATATGTAGGTTTATGTGTTACTGTTCATTGTTGTCATCTGATAGCAAATAATAAAAAAACATACATATATTATAAATATTCCCAAATGTTTCTACACTTTCAAGGCAAAGATGGGATCTGGATGGGAGTGCGACTAAAAGTTGCGGGTAGATATTTGCATGCTCAAAATCTTTGCGGATCGCCATGTTTTTGTAATCGGACATAAAAAGAGTCTCTAAATCATTTTTTAGACATTTGACAATTGTACATAATTGCCGAACTTGGTGAAAATAAACTTATGACCGATTCTTCCTATAGAGCTGTATGTTATAGTAATGCCATTTTCATAAGGATTCGGGCCTGGTCAGGACAAGTTTTCATACAAGAATCAAATTTTCGACCAATCTTTTCTACAGCAGATATATGTATATAGAGGTCCGATCCGATCCGATATGCGGAAACCAAGAGACTAGCTTGCATAGAAACAGACAGATATCGAATCCGCGGTTGATATTAGAAATATATATACTTTATAGAGGCGGGAATGACTTCTTATATGCGATTCATATTCAAAACCACGAGCGAACACTATACTAACAAGTAAGAGGTTCTAGTCAGGAGGTCCCGACTTTAGTAGAAAGATAAATTAAAATTAAAAAAAAACGTTCCCTTAGCAGGATTCGAACTCGTAACTGACCGCATTACATGCAGCCGACTCTACTCAACAGCCACACCAGCCAAAAAATAAAACATTTTCCTTGGCAGGGTTCGAACTCGTAACACACCGCCCTACTTTCCGCCGCCTCTAGCCAACAGCCACAACATTCATTACGTCTTAACAAGAAATAAAAAGAATTAAAATAGCAGCATAGAAAACAATACAACCGCAATTGCAATGCTGTTGATATAATTCAAAGCAGACGCGCATGAATATGTGTGTGTGTGTACATGTATACAGAAATTCTTGGAATTTGCGCTTGCCGCCCCAAAGTCGAGGTCAGCATCTTATTGTACTATAGAATATTTGTGTGTTATCAAAAAGTCAATTGCATTTAAATTGTGGCTTATATTGGTGGGCAGCATGAATTGGTGTTTTAACTGGATTCATGGCTAAGAGGTAGAAGCGGGAAGGTGGTGGTAGCTATAAAATGAAAGATACTTGGTATATACATACATATACTACTATTCTATAAGCTACATGTCAAGTTTACCAAAATTGCGCATAAAACAGAATTTCGATATCGAGTTTTATCGATTACTTGGAAACGGGGCAAGTTATCGAATATCGGAAACAAACTCGATCTGCGCGGGCATCAGGACGATCTACAGATCTGAGATCCTTGTGTTCATACATACGGAGAGACAGACAGACGGACGGACAGACGGACGGACGGACACATGGAATTGGCTAGATCGACTCGGCTATTGATGCTGATCAAGAATATATGTATACTTTATGGGGTCGGAGATGCTTCCTTCTGCCTGTTACACCCCTTTATACCCCTTTTACCCATTTTCAATGGGTTCAGGGTATAAAAAGTAGAAATTATCTAGGCAAGAGTTGCAGTCGATCAGATTCCATTTGAGTATCTAAGATCATGCACAAAAATCGCACCCACGCAAACTCTCACTCTTGGGAAAACTTGTTGTTCTTAGGAATGAAAGTATAAATTTGGCAAAAACCAAAAATGTATACCCTGAACTCATTTAAAATGGGTAAAAAGAGAGAAAAGCGACAAGTATCTCCAAAGGGTATACAAATTCTTGGTCAGCATCAAAAGTCAAGTCGAATATAAGATCTAGAGGCTTAAAATTTTCAACAAAGGTCCTCTTAGTGTGGAATACTAGATCTTAAAACCTAACAGATATGCTCAAAAACAGGATTTCGATAAAAATGATTGGCAACGGGACCAGTTTTCAATTATATAAAATATATATTATATATAAGTTATACATTTGCACAAATACATTAAACCCTTCTAACTAATTTAGTTTTTTTCAAATATATTTTTTAACACTATTTGTAAGAAGGTTTTGTGTATACCTATTTCATTCAAAAGGTGTATTTTGACACCTTAGCTAATAAGAGAGGAACAAGTTTTTAAAATTGTTCTCTTTTGATTTACTTTGTCGAGAATTATGCTAACACTAAATTAATTCAACAATCAATTAATAAATTATCATCAAAAAGTCAAAATTTAGAACAAATTATTCAACATAGAAAATAGTTTCAAGTTAAAAACTGAAAAGGTGTCTGTTTGACACCTTCGGTACAAATAGTGTTAATAATACTTGTGTATTCCTTTACCCATTAAATAGGTAAGGAGAAGAAGAAGAAGAAGAAGAAGGAAAGGTTCAGGGTAATCCCTAGTAGGGCACTTCTGACAGAAGCGCAATTTTTGGTTTTTTCCTAAGCAATTTTTTCAATTGCTGAACTAGCGCTTTACTTAAGTTAGGTATTATTGAAAGATACTTATTAGTATTGATTAATAAAAATGACAAAAATTGAGGTTGAATACACTTTTTCAAAATATATGTTCGAGTTTCTGCTTATACATATGAATATTCAATGGGAAAATACAACTAATAAGCAAGGTTTCAGTACAGTATTAATTTGTTGATCCAATCGACAAAAGCTTATTCAGAATTCTCCATTGAAATTTAGGCAAGAAGAAGAAGAAGAAGAAGAGAAAAACAAGTGACTAGAGCTTCGAATGAAGAACAGAGTTTGTTTTCTAATTATTTTTACTAGATTTGTTATCGCTGAGGAATTATCCACTTTAAATCATAAAATCTCTGGTCCTGTGCAGGGTGCAGGCAAGGGCATGGCAAGGGGGGGGGGGGGGCATTGTAGATGGAAAAGAGAGCATTAAGTTGCATGCAAATACATTTAATAGTATCTCGGCCATATATGTAGATTGTGGCCACAATGCCCTTTGTTACTTAATAGTTGTCATTACTGTTAATTATTATCTAGAGTCAGGTATCGAATAATATGTGTGTATTTAGGTGTTTAGGTGAGTGTAGAATAATGTGTGATAGATATACTTAATAGAACTTATGTAGATTATTGATGTGTACAGATTTCAATTGATGAGACAATATATGTTATTCCTTCGTCTAAATGTACATACACAAACATATGTACATTTATATTAGAGTTGTATTGTTCATATTAGAGCTGAACTATTTCCTTGAGCTAGCTATTTTCATACTTCTAATATGTTATTTGAGCAATCGAATTAGGCCAAGACAATGGAGTAAATCCGATTGTTGAACGAACGACTGTTGGAACTGGAATAATGATCTGCATATATATATATATATATATATATATATATATTCTTTGATTCTGTCTGTTACATTTCTAAACTAACTTTTAAATAGTGAATAAATATTGTATCAAATATTGCATAAAATATGTTAAACATATGCATCAATCAGATATTCACCTTTCATTTAATTTTAAGCTAATTACAACTCTAATATGCGTGTACCTATGCATGTCTTCGATATGAGTATTTGGTACAGTCATGCTACTGCGCTTATGTTTATGTACCTTTTTAAGGCCATTTAAGCAAGTTTGGGCACGCTGTGACAATTTGTGGTCAATTTGCAATGTGAACAACTGATGGATTGATTATCTTCTCTTATCATAAACGCAGTATGTAATATCTTAAACAAGCGCTGTCAACCTAAAAGATACTTTTGTACAATTTGTAACCTACCTGCAGGGCTTGCACCATTGATTCTGCTGGTCCAGTCCGAATCGCGCTCGACACTTTTTCATGTTGTTGCCTACGAGAAAAAGAAGTTAAGATTGGTTTTTGGAAAAATGTTGCATTATAAGGACACCATAATTGAACATGATCGAGTTGTTAGTTAGTTGAGCAGCAGAAAGCTAGTTTAAGCATTCATATTACAATTCGGACTAAATAAGAAACAGATAGAGACTACACAACGAGCAACATGATACGAACAAATAATAAATTAACAATTAATAATGGATAGTTAAGCCTTAAACTAGATAGAGATTTCCATTTAACTACATTCCACATCATATTCTTTAAGGAATATTAGCTAAACATCTGGACGTTGAAGTTGAAAAGAAGATGAAGATGAGATAAAGTCACATGAAGAACGCGAATTATAAATTAAACTTGTTTTCCACTTTTTCTAATCTGTTCACGTAGTGAAAACGAGTCGATTTATGGCCGAATTTTATACATTATAAAGAAAATCAATTTCGATTATTTCAATAAGTACATGTGAATATATATATGTATATATATATTTTTTTTGTGAACAGAGTATGAAGCAGCATGTTTCCATTCTATTTTCGTTTGAATTAAATTTGGCTAATATAACTCACATTGGCTAACACATAAATACTAGTTGATTGCTTTAATTGTATTTGGTCAGCATAACTGATTTAGTATGATTTAACACACAACATTCGTATACAAAGCGTTTTAATTACTCATGCACTAATAACTAGATGTATGTGAGTATGTAGTATAAGTCAACTGTGTATAAGTATAATAGTATAATATACCGTATAATTGCTTATAGCGCGTATAAGTAAGCAGTATAAGTATTCAGTTGACTGATACTACGTACACGTATACAAATACAGCATAAGTATCAAGTTTACTTATACGTAGTCTAAGTTATTATTCTTATATTTACTTTAACTTATACTGCATACTGTATACACACACATGGAAATTATTTTCCTCATATATGAGAGTGTAGTATAAGTGTATGCAGTAAAAGCACTTATACTGGATGAGTACTTATAATTATACTGTATGCTGATACTACACAGACACACACACACACATAAGAGTCATATCAATAGAAAGTTATAACGTGCAGGCAATGATATTATAAAGCTAGGTAATTGTAATTTTTGATCGTAATCACTTATTGACAATCAGACATACATCAATATATATATAGATACATACATACGACAATGGTTGATGAATGATATGTGTACTATTTGTTTAAATGAATTATTACAATAAATAGAGAGGGAAAACTGCCTGTAAACAGTTTCGAGTTAAGCAAGTTGGGGATGCAAATTATTTACAGGGTAAATTATTTAGTAGGGTGAATTTTCTAGGGATTTCCTAAATCTACTTATTATTGTCATAAATAAGTTGAGGGAATTTTTTTTCGTTTATTCATTTTGATCTATGTTTTCTTATTTTTTCAACTTCGTTCCAATCGCAACAACAAGTATGTTTTTTTTTTTGTACTTACACAAAGTTGTGTGTGATTTTTTTTGTGTCTTTTATTAAACAAATTAATATGAAATAGTCTGATTATATCGTTTGATAATCATTTAACGTATGTCTGGCTGTTTAAGTTTTGGTTTCGATTTTGATTTGGTATTGTATTGGTATGACATAGTACATAGTACATGGTACATAGTACATGGTACATAGTACATATGTACATTTGTAATATGTATCGTAGAAAAGTTTAAGAAAATGTTTCTAACCTCCTCCGTCGCTGGTCGCATCTTGCTTCCGTTTCCGCTTCTTGCCGCGTGACGCGTTCGTGCGTGAGCTCCAATCGGGATACATCTGCATGTGCAGCTGGCGTTCCCGTCGCGCCAGCTCGTAATACTTGGCCTGCTCCTCACGCCCCAAGGCATGCCACTGCGAGTGGAGGGAATCGAATGCATATGCATGTATATATGTATATATATGCGAGGTGTCGCGCGAAAAGAACATTGTGTAATAATTGTGGTTGTGTGTGGCAATCGGTGCGAATTTCGACACATTTTTCAAATTTCGTATTTTCGTATTTTGGTATTTTCGTATTTTGGTATTTTCGTATTTTGGCGATCAATCGAATTGTTTTTGTTAGATTTGGTTGCGATATGCGCAAATCAAAATTATGAAAAATAAAGAGAGATAATATGCAATTATATACATTAATCAATCAGGTGAGATATTTTTTAACTCTATTTAATTATGCTATTCGGGCACCCGCCCGCCAATCAGAGCACACACAGTGGACAAAAGCCGACGGAGAGGAGAATCGTATTTATTCGCCGGAATCGTAATATTGTTCGAAAAGCTTTGACGGATCGATCTTGTAGACGGTTTCGGGTGCATGCATTCGCCAATTTCAAGTCCTCACATATATACTATATGTATAATAGATTATTCGGTTTGTTTTTATTGTATATGATTCTTGTGTTCAAGAATCTATGGAAATGAAAGCATTAAATAAAATGAAATGTTTTTTTTTTTTGGTTTTGTTTTTTTTTTTCTACATATTTTCCTGTTCTCTGCACTTTGTGCTTGCCAATTCAATACATACAAAGTATATTGTGTTCGTGTGAGTGTATTATTTTGCCAATTGAACCACATAGGTATGGAAAGTCCTGCATAGGAAGCATACATAGGTAACGCTCCAAAACTATTCTCTTGTTAACAAATCTCTTTTCCTACGATTTGTTTTTGCATCTTTTATATCTTTTCAAATTGTTACTAATTAATCGATTTTCTTTTATCAACATTTTCGTATTCTTTCTGTATTATTAAAACAATAAGCTTTCATTCTTTTTTTAAATTCTGAATTTTTGTTCAAGAATAGGGGAATTTGAATTGTTACTAAAAAAAAAGGGGAATTAAATCGAATCGAAACTAATCCCAGAAAAGTAGCCACGGTCAATGGGATTTGACAAAGACGATAGCGAACATTCCAAATAGACGAAATCTAGTCGCTTTTTTTTCACAGTTTCACATTTTCAAAATAGATAAATATAAATAAATATTCTGAAAACAAAAAATGCCAGAATGTGTATACAAGCAAAAAGCTACGGGTTACCGAAGAGAGACAGCGAGAGCGAGAGAGAGAGAGTGAGAATCAAAGGTACTCTATACTCTATAACATGTTATGTTTAATTACTTTCTAGTTTAGGTACACTTTTTAAAGTACACTTTCAAATTGGAATCTGCTTAGTACAAATCTAAAGCTAACTACGAAACATCTAAGATTCTGTCTAGTTTCAAAAATGTGATTTTTTTTTTTTTTTTGGAATTGTTTATTAAATAATGTCGGGTTTTTGTTTTGTTTTTTTTTTTGGTTTTCTTTCAGTTATTTTGATGCGTGGTACGAGTTAAATTTAAATTCTAAGTATTTACACAAATTACATTAATAGTAGGTAGTACATGTTTAATTTAATTTGTTAGTTCTAGTTTTTGTGTTAGTAGCAGCTGATTTTAAATGTGTGCTTGTGTTATTGATATTGATATCGATACTGTTAATGTTAATGTTAATGTTATTGTTAATGTTAATGTTATTGTAGTTGTGTTCGTGTACGGTATGCATGTTTTGAATGAAATTTTTCAAATCGAAAACGAAAACGAAAAACGAAACGAAACAATAATAAAGGTTGAATGCGGTTAGAGAAGAATAAGTGTGTTACAAATTTGACAATTTTGTGCAATACCTCCCGAATCCGCTGTCGATCTGTCTTTTTTACGCTTTTTCTTTTTTGACACGTAACCGTAGTTATCTCGTGCACTCCACCCCGGATACAACTCCATATGCAATTGGCGCTCTTGTCGCGCTTTTTCGTAATATTTGCTTTGTTCTTCGCGGGAAAGTTCGTGCCACTACAAAAGTATCATTAATGTTTGGGAATCAGTTAGCATTAACTTATATTGGTTTTTTGTCAAGGTGTCAAGTTCAATATGCATATATATTATATATTTAGTTAATTTGATTTGTGCGAATTCCAAATAGTTGGTACTTTTTTTTATACAGTTATAGTCCGTCAGTCTGTCCTTTTATAATCAAGGATTATTTGCGCTGAAGTAGCATTCGCAGCATTTAAAAACTGTTCCGGTTTGTTCGAGGCTTGTATTTATATATGAAATGAAAACCCCAATCATAAAACTTAACCAGAGAGAGAGTAACCAGAGATGACTTGGCAGCCAAGTTAAAGGTTAAAGGTTAAAGGGACTGTGCTATTACGATGGACTATGTAGCTTACCCGTCGGCCCAGTATTTGATTAATCGCCGCCGACTCTTTCAGGGTGCATTCGGCAACAACTTTGGCTCTCATCTCTTTCATGTACAGCATAAATGCATTCAGCGGCTTCTTGATATGTGGCTTCTTTTTATCATTTGAACTATCTTTACAGTCGTTTGCTTGCGAATTCGATGAGCTTTTGGTATCCAAGTTTCTGAAATGAATCAACAAAAAGCACAAGCATATCACTTTCAATCCACAAACAAAAATCAAACATTTTAAGAGATACAAAATAAACACTAGAAAGCAAATAATCGTACAGCAGATATCTAATTTGTTGGACATATCTGAATGTCTTTGAATCCTTGACTTTTGAAGCCGACAAATCGGACAAGAATCAATCAATATTGCAAACTGTTTAAGTGCAAATTTAGTCCCCAAAAACCTTAGGGATGAATTTCTTGTTTGTCATGACATTCATACACCTCCGATCAGTATCCGACCAAAAGCCGTGTTGATATAGCTATAGCTTCTTCTGGATCGGGCCACTATATCAAATATCTGCCATAGAAATGATGGGAAAATGATCAGAAAACGTTTTTGAAATAACTATCTTGAGAGAAAACGTCGGCCAGAAACGAGCTCGCTCTCACACTTTTTTATTTTGTGTAACCTTAAACGAATGTTAAATTTACATTTTTTTTAGCCTGGTTCCAATGCTTAAATCGTAGGGAGTATCCGAACCAGCTCCTAGTCCCGATTCGCTACCACATCCAGTTGCAATCCCGGCTGCCACTGTCAAAGCGCTAAACTGTGCCTTGAACATGTCCGTAATAGCACGTTCCTGGAGTGCAGCAACTGCCGCAACTGCCGAGGATGTATCTTGAAGGGTTCCTCCTCCGGCTGAGGATGAGGCTCCGGCTCCGGCGGTTGTCGATGCTACCGAGGATGGGCACATTGGCATACTGGCGATAGCGACAACCTTGTACGCGTTGTCCCCGTTGAGCTCCTTGCCGGAATATTCCGGCTGGCAGTTGCTCGCCGATGATGAGGATGTGGGAGTCTCGATGCGACGCGCATATCTCGATTTTCGCCGGTGATTATATTTACTCGAGCTCAAGGAGTACGAGGTGCAGCCAAGCGGGCCTGTAACTGTCGAACAGCTGCTGTTGCTACTCGTTGGCGGTGTGGCTGGCGTTGGAGGGAACGGAAGATCGGCCAAGTACACCGGTACATCCGATGTGGCAGACTCTCGATTAATCGCTGCTCGGCATTGCTGCGTGCCCGGCGATAGATTCAAGATGGAACAGTTCTCGGCAATGGTATTCGAACCGGGAGGGGCAGGCAGGGGCAAGTTGTTGCCGCTGGCTAGCAAGGCATTCATTTTGGCCTGCACCGACGACAACGAAGTATATTCCAAAAGAATTTCGGCGGCCGTGCTGCAGGTGTCACCGTCATCTGCCGGATGCACGACGTTGTTCCTTGGATGCCAAATGCATGCGGGTGACGCAGATGATGCGGGTTCCTCTTCATCGTCGCTATCACTGCTCCCGGCACTTTCGCTGTGCCCATTCACGTAACCTGGGCCAGCTGCTGCTGCTGCTGCCTGCTGCAGGATAATATTTTCGATATCTTGCAGGGTGCGCAGTTTGTCGGGTGATGAATGTGCTTCGGGTTTACTTGTGCAGTTGTTCTCTTGCCTATAGCTGTTGTTTTTTGGGCTAACTTCTGCATCGATTTTGTTTCTGGACCCCGAATCGCATTCGGCCGACAAAGCAATCGCAGCAAGGGCCATAACATCATGGGTGGGCGAATCTGTCTTGGTGTCGGGCGTAAGGCCTAGTCTTTGCAGGCTCCGTAGATAATAGAGCTCGGCACTGCTCCACTGGCGATAGAGACTTCTTACTTGCACCAGCATGCCTTCGATTTTCATTCGATTGTTTTCCAATTCGCGCTGTACGGTTACCTCAAGGGCCGAGCTGTTTGTATTGTCATCATCAAGTCTGTCTGCCCTTTCGAGTGGCATATTTAGATTATCCTGAAATTGACTGCAAAGTAATGTCAATTGCTCTAGGCCCTTCTTTATATCGAACAATACGTTCTTCTGCTCGCGCAAAAAGTAACCTTTCGAGCTTGAAGCGCATTGAGTCCGTTTGCTTAACTTGCATCTGTCTTTAGTGAATGAGTTCGAGTTCGAATTGGAGTTGGAGTTCGAGTTCGAGTTGTGTGCATCTGTTTTATCTCTCCGGCTGTGATCGTGATCATATCGAATACTCTGTTCGATATCGCTTTGTGTTCGATTATTGTTGTTGCTGTCGTGTGACAAGCCAATTGATAATGATGATGCTGATGATGCTGATGATGGTGTTGCCTTTGGCTCATTACTAACGGAAGATTTGCGCAAACCAGAAAACTCCAATATATGCAGCCTACGCTCTCGATCCTGATCGACCTCCAATGACAAATGCGGCTGATGCAGAAACTGTGCATAAAGCAATTGTGTTGCCAGGAACTGTCGCTGCTGCTGCTGCTGTTGCTGCTGCTGCTGTTGCTGCTGCTGCTGTTGCTGCTGCTGCTGCCGTTGTGTGCTCTTTTGCTGGGAGAGCACATTATTGGTGTAGATGCGAGCGAGTAATGCATCACGATTACAGCTTGTATCCAATTGGTCGCGATCCCAATTGCGCTGAGGGTCCTCCAGCTTTGGCCAGTGCTGGAGCATGTCGTGCTGCTGCCGCAGTAGAATTTCCGACATCAATGTGGATGTTGCAGTCGGCAGCACAGCATTGCTTGCGGGTGCATTAAATATGTGATCCATCACATCGGAGCCTTTGTTGGCCTTTGTGGCTGCCTCACTCGCACTCTGTATATGATCAATGAATTGTGCATTCGGGGCTGTTGTTGTTGTTGTTGTCGATGTTGTCGATGATGATAATGCTGATGCTGATGATGATGACGATGACGATTGCGAGATCGTTTCCATTATATTGCCAACGGGAAGAGAAAAGTCCTTTGGTTCCTTATTCTCATCGGCGGCGCTTTCATTTCCATTTAGCTGTATTTGTCTATAACTATTTGACTCTCTTATTGGTGATAACGCTTCGGGAGTGTCATCTATGCTGCTTTTGCTGTTGCCCTTGGTATTCCTGGCACTTTTTGTAGTAGTATCCATAACACTTTCAATTCTGGCAATGCAGCTATTCGAATTATCCGGAGGTCATAGTCTTTCGAGCTGCTGTCGATGCCGTTAAAGGATTTCAAATACGTTTACATTCACTTCAGAGTTAAATAACTCCGATCCGCGTCGAGACATTTGAATTTTTCTTCTACTTCACTTCACTTTATTTCGAATAGACTCTTGATTCTTTTATTTCGATTAGAAGAGAATCGGCATCAAAGTTTCATACGTTTTTAGAGTTCACAAAACTAAACTTAAAATATGCACGCAAATGTAAAATAAGTAAAGTCCTAGCAACATTTGTCACATTCGCATGTATTCGAATACCATTAAACATCCTATACCCTCAAAGAGGTGGACAATTTTGTGCAAAACTATACTGTAAAATGTTACAATATATCCCATCTCACCCGTTCACAACTCGCAACACAAGTACAGGGTATCTGCTTGCGATGTGCATATTCGATTTGGATTCTTTAACTTTATTGGAGAGCCAAATTTGTGGACAATAACAGTATTTGTATAGATTGCACTTTGACCCTGCTATGATGCTGATGATTTTTCATTCTTGACCTACACCACCCTCTGCCACTATTGAGATTTACTGAAGTAATTCCCTTGAGTGAGTAGTTAGTAAATCTATATTCTTCTCGTTTGGATGCTTTTTTTTTTTTTTAAATAAAGCTCTCTCTTACTACACACTGTTCACAATAGAAAGAGAGTCGATTGGTTTTTATTGCTGTCTGACATAATGTATTGCAATTATATTTGGGTCGGAATATTTGACAAATATTTGCATATTTGGCCAAAGTTGTAAAGTTTTAGGAACCACTAGCCGCATATTTAAAGAGCTTGTCTTTTGCTTGGCTGTTGTCAACAGGGTATTGGGCAGTCGGCTCAGTCGTTCTCAGAGTGGACTGGGACTGCTCTCGTTATCGTTATTGAGGCAACAGAACAGACAGGCGCACTAACCATAACACAAGCATAACCCTGTTGCCTGCCTGTTGCGGATTTGAATAAGAGAATATGCTGCACGCATTTGATATGTGTATGTACACATGCGAGTATCTTTTATCAAAATTCAACAATTCATCTATTTGCAATTGCATTTCATATTCGGTCTGGTCCAACTTTCAGCCTGCTGATTAACTCTTGCTCTTGTTTATAGTTTTATTTTTATTCTCACATCCACAAATGCTGCGCTTCGACTGAATTAAATTGAATTGTTTTGATGGTATTTAAATAGAGTTCTCTTTTGGGTTTCGCATCAAGTATCCCCTTGTTGTCTGTGTGTATTGCTGAGCTGATTTATGGCTGGATGCTTTAAACGCAATTTAGATGAATATATGTGTATGGTAATTTTATGTAGATACATTTTCTCTAATTATGGGCGAACATTATTCTCTATTTTCAACTATTTTCACCAATATGCTGAACTGAAGCCACAAACACGACACAGCAAATTGCAAATTGAATTGATTTCTATTTGGTTTTTTGTTAAAGATTTTGGCACATTATCGCACTTGATTTTATTTATGGGATATATGCATCAAATGCAGGTTTAGCACAGTAGTTGCTCCCAAAGTTGTGAGTTGTGAAGGAGCACACGCTTCTTAAATGTATGGAAATTTCACAGTTTTAACCGAATAATGCGAGTCTCGGACATCAGGTATTTGATTTTTGCAGATTTCTTTGATTTTTGCTTAACTGTCTGCCCAGCAATTTGACGAATTACTTCCGACTTTGGGGGCTTTTAAGCTAACAATTTACAGTCGTATTCGACTCTATCGCCTTTTTCATCACTTCTCTCTCTCGCTCTCTTCTCCGAGAGAGGCCGGCGTGGGCCAATGCAGAGAACGATTGCGCGGTGAGAGAAAACGCATCGAACGTTCTCTCGTGAAAATTTCGAAATGCAGCTTATTAGTTCGTTGGGACTAGCGCAAAACGCAATATGTCGGCTGGCCGAGCAGTTGATTTTTCTACTATTATAAATGGCATTAATTATTACTACATTTAAAACCATCAACAACCAACCGGGTATATATGCCTGCCGTCAATTAAATTCTTTTAACAAAGAAGCATCTTCTTGACGATACCCTGTATTCAGCAAGACGTCGGATGGCCTTCACACTATGGAAAGCTTATTCTTGATCAAAAAGATATTTATTGATCACACATTCTAGTTCTAATGTTTTTGGAGATCGTCGTCTCAATCATATATTACCTTAATTGGTCGCCATTTCTTTTTTTTTTTCATACATTGGTTAATTAGTATACGATTTGATTTTGCTCATTTAGAATGGACGCAGAGTACAAAACTTGAAATATTTCACATTTTGAGCGGCTTCAGCAAGAATAAGTTAACAGATTTTAGGTATCGAACTTGGGAGTCATTTAGCAAACTATCGCAATGAAGTATTATCGATATGCTGCTTTAGAGTACAAAATTGGTGTTCGCTACTGTGAGCGGTTGCGCAGCTGTTGACAGTGGCGCCCTCTATCAAAAGGATTTTATGTGCTTAAAGTACGAGGATAAAATTTCAAAATTTCCCACTAACTTTTGTACTTTTATATGTAAGTAAATATTTAAGCATATTCATAACAAAAGTAGCAACTTTAAATACATAAATTAAAGCTAATTATTTATTTACTTCTTTTTTTTTGCTTAAAGTTTTACCTTTTCCGATTCAAATAAGGAATAGGCTTACGAATTTGAAGTGCAACTAAATTAGAAACAGAATTTAAATAAAATAGGATAATGGCAATATAGTGGGGAAATTTTACAATCGCTTCGTTTCATTCCGTCTTCTCTTTCAATATTAGTTGCAGGGCAAAGGCCCTTAGGGGATGGTTTCTAATGCGCAGACGCGCACTTTGGAGTGGGCCAATAGGAAAGTGGACATTTCTGTATTGTGTGTGTATATACATATATGCATATACATACATGTATATATATGTATACTTATACGTGTGTGTGTGTGTGCGTTCAAGTGGGTTGTGGGTAAATTAAATATGGCGTCTTGAAAGCGCCCACCCAATAAAACATTGGGCTAGCGGTACAGAAGTCTTAATGACCAAGTGTGAAAACATTCGATAGATCACAAAATACAAAAAAAATAATAATATTAATTTGTTAATAACGTCAATCAAATACTCTCGTTGTTGATAAGTATAAGTAGTATAAAGTTAAGTTTTCGTTATACTTGAGCAACATACATGAAATATACTTATTTTGAAAAATGAGATATACAATTATTATCGCCTAAATATATACAAACCAATTTGATATACTTGTCCTATATCGTCTAGCTAAGATATCTTCAGCATCAAAATATTTATACAAGAATGCAATTTACGAACTAAAGTTCCTACCGCAGATACAGATACATATTATATATTACATACATACAGTATCAGATGTTTAGAACGTTCAGGAACGTTGAACTCACGGCATGCAAATGCCTCAAAAAAGGAGATTGAAAATCAAAACTTATCCAATTAAAGAATATCTGTCGGGGAATCGGAAGAAAGGACCGAAACTTATCTATAATTTTTCTATGGATTTTACCTTGAATATCGATTGTTCGTTGTGGAATCCTGTACGCCGCAATCCTGTTTGGAACTAGACGCCACAATCGATGGATGGGAATTTAGAACGTGGTGAGATGTCGCATGAACGGAAGGCAACAGACTCGGTGAGAATCGAAATGGGAAATCGCTGCAAATCAAATAAATTATATAAATTAATTGTTGTAAATCAATACGCTTCACAAAATCATTTCATAATCACCTCGGTAGCGTTGTATTAATTGGTAATGAGGAGGGGTAGGGTGTTCTAAAACTAGATGCTGAGTAAACCGACGGCGTGTGCCTGAAAAGAATTAACGGTAAATATAACAATGGGTATTTTACAATTTAAAGAAAACAAGAATACATATTCACAAGGCTGCACAGGAAGCTCAAGATTTGATAGGTGGTTCAGGAGAAGATAGCCTCAACTAAACAACTAAGCACTTTATCTAATCTAAGCCCAGCGCTTTTATCCACGGGACCTACCACTCTGGGACTCAGGCTAATACCATGCATTCCCCCAACTCCTCTTCCCCCCAAACACAACCAAATCATTATAATTATTCGAAGTTGCCCTATTAGAAATGTCATACAACATGTCAACTTAATGTAGTTTCTGTGTCAAGGGAAAACGTCACAATTCATTGGTTATCCCCATGAGGACCTTTTTCTAAAAATCAAAGATTATAGTTTAAAACAAGTAAGAGGTTCTAGTCGGGAGCTCCCGACTAGAGGATACCCTGAACCCTCTTCTTCCGACAGGCGATAGGTATAAAATGAAAGATACTTGATAAATATATACTATTCTAGAAGCTACATGTCAAGTTTGGCGACTCTTGCTCTTATTATTCACCAAAATTGCTAAAAAAAAAACAGGATTTCGATATCGATTTTTATCGATTACTTGGAAACGGGGCAAGTTATCGACTATTGGACACAATAGTCTATTGTGCTATCAATCGTCTATTGATGCTGATCAAGAATATATATACTTTATGGGGTCGGAGATGTTTTCTTCTGCCTGTTACATATATTTCAGGGTATAAAAATGTGTTTCAATGTAGAAAATGTAACCAATGGGAATCTACGTTGTCAACTTGAATGCTGATCATCTCTATATATAAAACTGTTTTTCCTGACTTATTGACTGACGGACTGACTGATTGGAGATCAACGTTCGGCCCATAATCAACCGATCGGCCTTAAAATTAATTTCAAAGCTCTTTGTTGAAATTCACACAATTGGAAAATCGAAACCTCCTTCTTTGAATCTTTATGAAAATTCATTTGAGATGTGCTTCACACTTTTTGAATCAGAATCTACCTAAGAACTAAATGAGCAGCACGTGTTTCAGCAATTCAGAAATTCGGAAAACGAATGTATGAATGTTTTTTGTTTACCAACCGATCGCCTTCAAAACCATTTTCAGAGATCTTTGGCAAAATTTGTTTGATTCATTTTTCGGCTTCAAGATTCTCAGCAGACACGTGCGGAAACTGTTGATTGAAACCTTTGTTTCTTTATTCGATGGACTTTAAGCATATTATCAAATAGACGTAGAGTTCAAATTCAATTCGAAATCCCGGTTTTATTGAGAATTTCTCTACTGCTTCAAGATTTGACATCAACATCAAAATACATACGAATATTCTATGCGCAAAAAAATCGACTCCGGAAAATTGCATCACCGGAAAATATATACTAAAATTTGTATATCGGAAAGTGAGGAGTTACAAAAAATTTTTTTGAAAAACAAGGCCTCTCTCAGCCGCTTCATCCAGTGAAAATTTCAATGGAAAGGAATTTTATTAAGTTTGCATTCAGTAATAATATTTAAATAGTTTTAATTAATCAACTTACCATGAGGCTACTTGAGACATATCAGGACTTAGCATCGGATAAGGATATTGGGTGGCAGCAAATGGATATAAGGCAGGACGAGTAAGACCTAAAAAGAATATATATACAATTACTATTAAAAGCATCAATTAAATATGAGAACTAAGAACAATACAAACGAAACTCATACCATTTAGACAAGTTTTTGAATTTGGCGGTTATATTACCCAAGTGTTAATTTGAGAAAATCGGAAAACAGATTTATATTAAATACGATTCTCGGCATGTTACCTTAAAATATATATAACATAGCCCATCGATTAAAGAAGCAATGGCAATTATATATACATTTTATCTCTATATATTAAACTGTTTGTCCTGACTGACTGACTGACTGACTGATTGATTGATGATCAACGCACAGCCCAAACCGTAACAGCTAGGAAGTTACCTTATGTGATGTAGGTGCACGTTAAGACGGGGTTTCGGGAAATTCCGTCCGCAAGTGTGGAAAAATCGCGAAAAACGTTTGTATGTAACTTTTTTGTTTACCATCCGATCGGCCTCAAACTCAGTTTCAAAGATCTTTATTCAAATTCATTTGAGGGGTGTTTCACACTTCTTGGAAAATCCGTTCCTCCTTGGTGGAAATGGAGGTCAAAGATTTGGTGGGTGACGTTTCGCCATCAAATTCATTTCCAAGTATCTACTTCTTCGGGTGGAATGCGACTCAATGATTTTTTGTGCGAAGTTTAAAGTTGTGTCCGATTTGCTTCAAACTTATTTTCAAAGCTTTACATAAGACTTTAATAAATACGTATTTCAGCGATTTGGGAAATTCCACCCGCAACAGTGGTAAATTGGCGGAAAACGGTTGTATGAAAGCTGTTTGTTTACCGTCCGATAAGTTTCAAAATCATTTTCAAAGCTTTTTGAGAACGTTGATTTTTAACATACGTGCCACGGGCAAGGCCGGTTTATACCCGCTAGCGTATATATACTAGCAAGTATTGCCCGTCCCTGTCCGTTGAACTGAATTGAAATTTACCCGTACCATCTTGATCTCCACTTCTATCTAAAAGTGCATCTGTTTAAAGTGCATCAAATAAAGAACCAAATGTTGAAACCAGAGGTTTCCGCCCGGTAAGAATCTTGAGGTCGAATAAAAAATGTGAGTTTATTAAACCTTTGACCCGCATTGTCCATTCAATAAAGGTGAACTTTGCGAAGACGTGTCAAATAAATTCTGATAAAGATCTTTGGAAATGAGTTTGAAATCGATAATAAACCAAAAAGTTAAGTTACGTTTTTTCGCCTAATTTCCACAATTGCGGATCGCTGAAAAAAGTATTCGTTAATTTGTATGTATAGCTTTGAAAATAAGTGAAGCAAATCGGACAAAACTTAAAACTTCATCAAACAAAAATCTCTGAATCGCATTTTCCACCGAGGAAGCTTTGATTTTGCGAAAAATGTTAAACACGTCTGACCCCCATTTTCACCAAGGAGCAATGGATTTTTCGAAAAACCCTTCAAAAGAATTTGAATCAAGATCTTTAAAAGTGAGTTTAAAACCGATCGGATTGTAAGCAAAAAAGTTGCATACAAACGTTTTTTCACGATTTTTCCACACTTGCGGGTGGAATTTCATGAAAACATCACATCAGGTAACTACAGTGAAAATTTCAGTTTCCCAGCTCTTGCGGTTTGTGCTGTGCGTTGATCATCAATCAGTCAGTCAGTCAGTCAGCATAATAAGTTTTATATATAGAGATATATATGTATAGGTCAGTTGAAATCAGTTGATAATGATCATAACGATCGATTCAGTTGATAATGATCATGAATTGATATCCCTTATGTTTAAGTCTACCTGTACTATCTTGGATTGAACGTCTAAATGTATACTTTACATAAATATTTGAAGTCCAATAAATAAGGAACCAAAAGTTGGCATTAAAGTTTAATCTTCTGGTTATGATCTTTATAATTTTTCTCTCAATTAACCTTCGATCGGCATTTTTCATCCAATGTCCAAAATTGAGTTTGAAGCTGATCCGATAGTAAAGAATAGAGTTTCAAATTTTGCAGCGTTTTCAACATCCATGAAACACGCATTTATTAAGTTCCAATAAATTGAAATTAAGTTTAGAGATAGATACATTTTCATACGAGTCTTTGTGAACGGATCTCACTCGAATCATCCAAGAGGGGTGATTTTGAGCCAAGAGCGAAAATCTTTCATACAACCTGTTTCCGCCAAATACCACTCTTGCGGGTGGAATTTCAAGAATCGCTGAAACACAAATTCATTATAATTAAGTTTGCAGCAAATCGGAAGCCTGGATTCTGCAAAAAGTGTGAAGCACATCTCAAATGAGATTTCATAAAGATTCAAAGAAGGGAGTATAGACATTCCAAAAGTCTGAATTTAAGTAAAGATCTTTGACACACAACTATTTTGTACGATTTCCCAAAACCCAATCTTGGCATGCACCTTCATCATCTTCATCTCCATCTCTTACAAACAGTTGTATACACCTAAGTCTGTTTTTACACGGTCTTTTTTTACACGGTTTTGATATAACACGGTTTGAAAATTGAATATTTTTAATTTTTTTACACGATTTTATTCCATTTAGCACGATTTGAAATTTTATGTACATACTTAAATTTTTTTTGTCAAATTTAATTTTTGCGAAGTATGTTCATATCACAAAAAAGTATTTATGAAAGAAAAAAGTCTGAAACCATCGATAGTATCGATAGTGCTATCGATAGTTTGCGAACACTAGCTTAAAGATTTAAGTGAATTCCCTTTTAGCGCGTACAAGCAATTTTTACTGGTCAAAGCAAATGTGAATAGCACTAATTTAGGGGAATTCCCTTTATGTGCATACAATAAAATTTACTGGTCAGAGCAATTGAAACGTGTTAATATTTTGTGAACTGTCAATGCAATAAGACGTGTTTTGTTAAGAAATTTTTTGCAGGCAAATTTGATTTTCCATTAAATTTAATTTTAACGCATTAAGATAAAAGGTAAGCCAAAAAATATTTTGTATTTATTCAGTTATTTATGTTTTTTAATTTTGTAAAATATTTTATGTATCCCTAAAAGGAAATGTCAGATATAAAACTAAAACGGAAGGCAATTTCTTTGGAAACCAAGATTGAAATTTTAGATCGCCTTCGAAATGGAGAAGGCTCAACTGCTCTTGGTAAAACGTTCGGTTTAAATGAAGCCACAATAAGAACTATAAAGAAAAATGAAATTGCTATTAGGCAATCGGTGATTTCTGGAACGAACCTATCTGTTAAGTCTTCATCATACACTAGAGATGCTGTTAAAGAAAAAATAAACATGAATTCTTGTTCTTAAAAATTCTTGTTTTTCACTAATTTTAATAGGTTTTAGAGATTAGGAACAAATCACCCATTTTTGTATACGATCAATGTCTTTTTTACACGGTTTTTTTTACACGGCTTCTTCTGGAACCAATCTACCGTGTAAAAACAGACTTAGGTGTATATATATAGAGATGATATATGTACAATTTATTGGATATGCATTATGTGTGGGCCCTGCTCAGAGTCGATATGGATAAGCTAACAAGCCTCATCCTGTTGGGTGATAAATCCTTCTACTTTCTCTATATGTGTTTAAAATATTTGTGAACATTTGTTTATCTCTGCAAATTTGTTGCATCAGTTTCAGGGGACTCAATCGATGGCCCACAACGATAATAGGCAGGTTCACATGGGCGGGAAGGGAAGGGAAGGGCGCCCTTTTATTCTTTATTCCTTTGGCCCTGGAGTAGATGCGTAAATATGGGATTATTTAGCGATTTGTATTTCTATTCTATTCCTATGTTGTATTCATTTTAATTGAAAATTTGTTGTCGCATCTATTTCACGGGCCGTTGAAGTTGTCCTTGTTGTTGTTGTTTCCCTTAACAATAAACTTCGCCTCGTTGTTGTCATTTTCAAGTTTTATTGTACTAAACCAAGATGTATCAAAAAATGGGAAAGGGTGAAGGGCGGGTGAAGGGCTGGCATTGCCACAGCAATCACCCGCGGGCGAGTGCGTGTGCCGCATCGAGAGGGGGGTAGAGGGAAGAGGGAGGGTAGAGAGGAGAGGGAGACACGGTATCTAGCGAAAAAGGATGTCATTATTATGTGGTCGTGCAACATGTTTTTATTCATTAGGCGTTTTTTATTTTTCGATTTCAAGTTGAATGAGTCTGGCCCGTATTAGTGATACCGATATCTTTTCCTCGCTGCCGTCCAACCCTTAATTGATACACTTTACACTGTGAGCAGCAACGAATATTCTATCCGATACGTCCATGAAACGATTTAAAACTGTGGCACAAGAACAACTATATTATATTCATTGTATTTACTCTCATGCTCAATTGTATTTGTTGCTGGCTAATAATAATCTAAATAATAAAGACTAACATTTTTCGATTGCATATTTTTTTAATTCTAAATTCTTTTACTATAGTCTAGCAACTTTTATCAGCGTGAATGGACGTCATTTAATTGCAACTTTTAACTCTACTATTACTGTACACTGCAAATAGTAAAGAAAGGGTATTCGACAGTCTGTAAGTGTAGATGTAACTTAATCCTCAGCAATTCGCCAGCGTCACAGTGTCAACCCCGTCTGTCACTGCAAATGTCGTATTAAAGCTTATTGCTTTAAAATGACGAAAGCCGGACCCATACCCGTTCCCATTCCCATTCCCCTTCCCCTTCCTTTCTATTGTCAATGCGGCCATTTGTACTGTGAGTAATACTTAAGCTGCGCATATCATTACCGGGGCATCTAAAGAGACATGTGCCGAGATGACGATTCCGATTCCAATCCCAATCCCGATCCCGATTCCGATCCTGTGGAACAACAGAACGAACTGTGGACTCAGGGTCACCAGGGTTGTTAGCAACAAACCGCCACCACGAGCCATGCGCGTAGTCCTTTTTTTTAGAGTTCCCCGCCGTACCGTGCCGTACCTTACCGTGCCGTGCCGTACCGTGTCGTGCTGGCAGGGGGGCGGTCACAACATTCGGGTATTGAATAGAAAAAACGCCCCCTTTTCAGCA